GATGATGATGATGATGATGATGATGATGATGATGATGATGATGATGATGATGATGATGATGATGATGATATGCCACACAAATTGCCCCTAAGAAGATGGTCCACTCGTGCCACACATTTGCCTTTCCGTTTGCCCCAAAACTGGTCTTTGTTGCTGGGTTTGCCTGGGCGCTGCCCGACCTCGCAGGTGCGGGGCTCGACCCAAAAGTCCGGGTGCTGAGATGGAGAGCCGGATTTGCCCGTTTGGAGGAGCCAGTCAGTCACAGGGTTAACTGTGTTTTTACTCCAAAAACTTGTTGTTTTCAGGTAAGGTCTGTATTGTTTCGATGCCCGGCCCGGCTTAGAGTTTAAACGGTTTAAAGACAACTTGTGACCTAGCACTTGGAGTACAGGATCATTTATGAGTCCCGAATGCCTCCCAATTAGAAACCAAACTCTGTTGGCTGTGATCCTGGCTGTTGTTTTCAAGTGAGTCTTCAAAGGGTAGCTAGCGGGCTAAGACTCACAGTTAGCTGAGCAAAGGCTAAGACTCGGTGTCTTCCAAGTTAAAAGAATTTCGACCACCAACCGACTCAAAGGTACTCAGAGCAGTTTTTTGGCCAGTGGCCCCTTTGATGGGTCGAGAAACGACGAGGACGAAACGACGCGGGACAACGTGAATCCCCGGACAACGTGGGGGGGGCGGCACACGACCGGTGAATGCGCCGTCCTCTTAAATGAAGAAGTGGTACCCTCCCTCCAACAATCATGGAAGCTGACCCGGAGCCCCTTGTAGAGGAAAATGGTCTTCCAGGGGCCGAACTGTTCCACTTCCTTGATTGTTTCAGGGAGTGTATATTTTGCGTGGTTTATTTTGGGCCTCCACCGTCTAAGGTGGCAAGCCAAAGCAAAACCGCCTGAGGCCTGTGAACGGGCGTGTTTCGGCCAAGTGGTTCCAAGTCGGTGGGCGAAGGATGCTGATGTGGGTTTTTCATCCGGGTCTAATTGATTCATATTGATTCTTGGCTAGCTGGTTAGGGAGGCAAGGACGGTTTTGAACCCACCATTGATAGGCCTCTACATGCCGAAAAACCGAACAAGAAACGTTGCACTATAAGTTGATATAAGTTGTAAGGATTCTACACGACAAAAACCAGATCAGCAATTTTTTTGTATACCCAAAGAATCCGGGCCCTCAAACAATCTCAAACACATAGGGTTTTGGGCTGTCATCACTCCCGCTACCTTGGCTGGTCACTTGAGCCGCCGTGGTGGTCGTGGCTGGTCATCCCGAAACGATTAGCAAAAGGACATCTGGCTGGTCCAGGCCTGCCGGCATTTGGAAAGCGGATGTTTTCCGGAGGTGTGTGGTTTCGATGGCTTCCGATTGTGATGTTTTTCTTCAATTAAAACATAAACTCATTTGTTTTCTTTGGAGGTGTGTGCTTTCCCAGATTTGTCCACCCAGCCTTCAAAGCCAGGACGAGCCGGAGGAAGAGCTGAAGGACGAGCAGAAGGAGGAGCAGAAGGAGGAGTCCTTGGAGCAGTGGTTTTGGATGATCGAGCAGGGCTGATTCCTTGGTTGACTCTGTGCTTGGGGACTCCAACCCACGCCCTGGCGCGTTTCGAAGATGCGCTTGGGGTGGGTGCGTGTAGCTTCACGTGGTTGGACCAGGATAGTCCTGTGGTTGGGATGTCAGCTGAACCATTTTCCCCAGGAGCAGCGTCCGAGCTGGGCGGACAAGGCGCGTCCGAGCGAGCTGGGCGCACTCGAGATACCGCGGGATCACGCGGTCGGAACCCCGTGGTGCTGACGGTACGGCGGGGACGTGCAGGGGGCTGGTGACCTTTTCATAAATAAAAGCGGATCTTTTTGGCCGCCGCCTTTGACGGACGCGTGGGTCAAAGGTCTGATACCTGCAGATCCATGCTCAAATCATCTTTGATTCCATTCTAGTCCATGCATTCTTGCACAGTGTCCACGATTCCACATGCTGACTCCATCGCCCGAAATGTTCACCGTCAGCTCCGTTCCGCAGGTACTGGATCAGCCATCCTAGACCCATGGACACCCATTGGCACCATACGAAGCACATTTTCCTCGCACATGTTCCTCCGTCCATGGCACGTACATCGTCGGTGGCCAAGAATGTTGACTGTGAATGACCATCCAGTAGGGTGATCCAAGCAGAGGGGTCACAAGATGGCTATCATGAATCAGTCAACCTTACACACACACACACACACCCCAAATCACACCATACTTTTTTGATTGGGCGATGACTCTTTTCTTTATGGAATTCCCAAAAAAAGGCATCTAAAACACCTAAAGCCAGAGAATTCCATAAAGAAGCACGCCTAAAGAAGAAGAAGAAGAAGAAGCACGCCTCAAAGCCGGAGTTTTGGACCGGTCCTGACCGCTCGTACCGACGCGGGCAGCCTCGCGCTACGCGATGGCAGCCAGGTTCGGCATAGTCTGGGGCATTGAGCGGCGCCAGGTCTGCGTACTGAGAGGTCCAGGTGAAGCATCCAGTTGGCCCCAGAAATTGCAGCCCAACCGGACAGTGAAGCGACTACGTGACTATGCATGGAGGAAGGTCATGCACATTCATGTACTAGTCATATTATTCACGGAAACCTTCCGAAGGCGGTTCTTTGCAAGGGAGACACGGAATGTTTGATTCTGATCAGCTGAAAAAGGTCTTCCTTTTTGGCCGGGTGTTGATTGGGGATTGATAGTGACAGCCCACCCATGTGTTTTTCCAATATTTTCAAGAAGGCTATGGTCTCATATGGTCGCTATAGTGGCCTGTATATGTATATATATATATATACTTGTACATATGTATATATATATGTCTCTCTATCTATTTTAATATTGAAGTGGAGCTTGTGCACAACTAATTGATCGGATGTGAAGGGCCAATGGACAGGAAATGATTTGGACCCGCCTCAAGGATTTGAAATGAGGCCAGGCGCAATGATCCCTCGGAGTACCAATTACATCTTTTCCAGTGCTCCGACATACCAATGCAGGTGTGATCTCACACCTGCTCTCAGCATCCTGCAAAAGATCAAGGCCTGCTGCTATTTAATTGTTTCACATCAACGATCCATCTATGGTGCCGTAAAATACGAAATTTAGAATGTGGTCGAAATCGCGATTATATATAATTATATCTGATATTCGAGATTTTCGATCTTTAAGACATATTTGTGTTTATTATATAATTTTTTTTGGATCGATTTGATCGTTGGCCGGAAATATATTAATTATTAAATATTTATATGTTTATATTATTATATAATTTAATCTATTTTAAATATATATGTATATATATATTTATTGAAATTATATATATTAATTAAAAAAATATAAATTAATTTTAATATAAATTATAAAAATATATTACTATAATGAATTAATTATATTAAATATATATAAAATATATTTAATAATATTAATGCATTGATATGAATATTTGGTTAATATTATATTGAATATATATATTTATTTATATTTTATTTATTTATTTTATATATTTATAATATAATAAAATTGGAATAACCATAATTCGATATTTTTATAATTGTTATAATATTAATATAATAATATAAAACAAATAGAATAATCTATTTATAATATTAAAAAGTAAAAAATATATATGAATTATTTAATTATTAATATATATTTATTTTATATTTTTGTATAAAATATAATATTATAATAATAATATATAGATGTTATTTTTATAAATATTAAATCATGTAAATTAATATAATAAATATAATTTTAAAAAATATATATTTAATTATTGGATAATAATGATAATATATATTAAATATCTATATTGATAAAATAGAAATAAATTAAGATGTATATGTATTTAAAATATATATATGAAGATAGAAAATTAACTTATATATTCCGTTGTTTTGTTTGCGAATGCAAGCAATTTAAAAATTAATTATTTTTATCTTTATATATTATAAATTTAAAGATGGATCGCGAAGGCGTCGCGAAGGTCTTCTCTTCTTATTTCGCGAAAATGTGCGAAGGTAAATATAATAATATATATATATAGGTCTAGCAAATTATTAAAAATCCATTAGGTCAACCTATTCCCGGACAATTTCCCTAGAAGACCGAAGAATTCTTATAGTATTGGATTTCTTACGAAGAAATAGAATATGGCAAATTGCCGAATCGCAGATTATCCTTGGTTAAGGGTTTGAGGGCAGAGATTTTGATGGATCCATTGGATCATAATGGATATCTCCTTTGAATTGATATATTAATTCGTGGATGAATTAATTTATATTGATTGCGATCAAATTTAATTAATTATATAATAATAATAATAATATTAATTTTTATTTTGATTAGAATTATGATTTAGATATTCTTATAAATATGATCTCGATAATAATTAAGAAGAGGATTTATCGCAAGGATGATAATCATTCTTTTCTCCCATTATGAATATTAATCCTTAGATATCTTCAAAAATATATATATATTGAAAGAATGAATCGTAATCCACCTGAACGAAAATTAAAATATTGGATCCAATGAATTTTGATTGCATTAATATATTTGATTCGAACAGAATTTGACAAATATGATTATTAAATTCCCATCGTCATTCCAATCCCAATTTGATGAATATGAAGATTTCTTCGATGCTAATCCAATCTCCTCCTCTATTCGCGGCCGCTTGGGGAAATATTATTGACAAACCTCCATAACATAATAAACGTATTGAATATTGGGTTGACATATATTCCTATATTCAAATTCGATCAATATATTTTATAAAAAATGAAATATAGAATTAATATAAATAATTGGAAGAAATGGATGTGATTGAATTTCATGCACAAAAATTGGGTATCACCAATATATTGAGGGTCAATAATAAAACAATATATAATTGACGGATTGGGGGGAAAATTAATAATCAAGGCAATCCTAATCTTTGCATCGATTGGTATCATGAATCTTTCTACAATTCTAGCCGCATAATACCTAAAATTCGAATGTAATTTAATCGACTAGCAAAGTGCGAAAATTCAATTCTTGCCAAAATGCATCAAATACAATTATGCACTTCCGAATAAATCAACCCTCAAAACGGACCTAATTCGATAAAATAGATTAATTTTATTATCCAACCACTTTCATACAAATAAAAATTCAAAAATAAACCTATTTTGAACAAATCGGACCTATTTCGACAACATAATGCTTAATACACATTTAATAAAAGAAATAGCAATATCAAATTAAACAATTATTATATACATTATGCAATTTTTACCTATTCCCCGACAAATTTGGAGTTTTTCATATGTTTCATTTCATTTTCGAGCTATCTCCTCGCATAGCCCGTGCTGGGCCGCAGGCAGCAACGAAGCCCGGACACGTCTAGCACGTCGAAATACCAACTCGAACAGGCAGGTCAGACTTGACCAAAGCTCAGGCAAATCTATCACCTAGCAAATCGATGAAACTGTGCGCTGGCATAGGCGGGGGTTTCTTCCACGCAGGATTGACTAGGCGGGAAGGCACAATCCAAATGAGATATACAGTGCTATGGATCTCTGGATCAAAGCCTGAAGGCATTGGGGCACGAAAATCGTCACTTCCAAGGCAGTGCCACTGTGCCACATGATGCATTTGTGGTGGTGTGCTGTGGGAGTGGATCCCACGTGTGTGACCCCGGCAGTCACCACAAAATCGCGCCACTCCACTGCAAGACCTCGGGCGTCATGGAAGATTGGAACACGGAGGGGGACTCTTCGATACCACTCAATCACATCACAAGTGCTTTTGATGCCAACTGTTGGAAATCGTGTGATCTGAAGGCAAATCCATGGTGAATCATGCGAAAATGCGTGGACAAAGACCTGCTGGTGCCAATCTAATATCAGCTGTTGGAGATTCGCGACTCCATGATGTGGACAGGCTGATGGAACAGGGGCAAAAACCAAAACGAACTCCTCAATGGAAGTGTCAACTCGGGAGGTCCATCCAGCCTGCATGTACACCGGCATTGTTTTCTCGAGCAGTTGCTGTTTGAGCCACCCTGCAAACTCTCCCGCGTTGGTCGCGGACCGGGTGATCATCAAACCTTTCCTTCAAAAGCAAACCGAAGAAGCTACCATCACACGGGTCAACGACACCCCCTGCATGCTGTACAAATATGGTCATCATCTGTCGTTCCCATGGACTCCATAAAGTGGTATTGAAAATTTGGCTCATGAGCTCCAAACCTGTGCCATCAAAACGCTGTTGATACAATGTGTCGAGCCTGAGTTGGCCAATCGGGTGGCCATCAAGGACCCAATCGATGAAGGTTGGTCTGCCGCACTCGCAAGAGGATGAGTTGTGTGATGTCACATCCTGAAAGCTTCTGCAGATTTTGGAAGAGCTCCGATGCCTCCGGGGACCTGAGACTCAAGTCCAGCAGCCACGGAATAGCCACTGCGGTATCGTGGGAGAGGTTCTCCTGATTGATCTGTTTGAGAGCTGAAAACTTGTGAATCACCGCCGGGAGTTGGCCAAGATGTGCAATCCTTTCGAACGTTTTGATTTCCTCCGATGTCAATGGCGGAGTCTTGTTCGGCTTCAACATCTGGGCTTGAGGATCCTATGATAGGCAGGCCCATTTCAAGTCAGCTGTCAAGATACCCTTGGACTTGAGATTTTGGATCAAGGAGTCGTCTTTTGCCTCCAAGTTCAACTTCTGAGCTCTTTGTGCCAATTCCTGAAAGCAATGCAGGAATAGAGTCGACCTCAGCGGAGCAGAAGCGTCGCCACTTTGCTTGAGGGCATTCCAATCCCTGGCTTTGGCCAACATGCTGGCATAATGCTTCCGCGGTCGCATTGGAGGAAGAACATGCTCTTGTTCCGGAGGTTGATGTTGGCTGCTACTGGAGGCAGAGTACGAGGAAGACGCAGGGCTGGTTTCTTCTTTCGGAGACACAGCCCGCTTGGCTTAGTTGGGCCAGGGCATCTTCCTGCCTTAATGAGAATCTTGCAATCATATTCAGCAGATCGTCGTTGCCGCCACTTGACGTTGAGGCCCAAGAGGGTGAGGATCGATGCATTGATCCCCGGCCAGGTTGTTTTTGGCCATTGGAAGTCGACGTGCGCGGGCGTTTGCCCTGACTGCCTGGGTGCCGGCTGCAAGCCTCCAACAGATCGGTAAAATTTTGATCGTCGGCGTGCATCTCCTCTCCCATCATGATGATTGATCTCTTACCACAAGGTCCAGTCTTGGGCCAGTGCATATTCAATGGAAATGCAATGCAGAATGCAAATCATTCAACTGATCTCGGAGATGTTGCTGCATATAAGTTGGTAAACCTTCCTCTGGTGTCGGTTCAATTGAGTGCCAGGCTCATGTCATGGGGTGCAACTCGTGAAGGCAGGCAAGGAAGCTGAAGACGGAATCCTGTGGCAGACAGGAGAATGGCATATCAAGATGATGTTCAACCTGGATCAGCGAGTCATGGAACCATTTCAATTTGGATTCAGGGTCAAACTGAA